ATTATTATTATTATTATTATTATGACTTTCAATTGTTTTTTTAAGGACAATTTTTTAGATTACCTTTAATTTATAGAAGGAGCGCATAAAATTGCATTATTTCTAGAACATGCAAACACTAAATGAATTGTACTTTATAGGTCAAATTGTCTCATTATCACATGGAGATGTCAGAGATTACTGGGTAAGCAAGCATAATCCTTTATTAATAGCTTCTCATATACGCTCTACGACTTCTTTTTCCTTCCGGCTAGCCAGTCGGTATGGCTGATGCCCGTCTGCCTAATGTAAGTTTTTTATTTATTTCTTTTTATTCATTTCTTTTCATAATTTTACTATTATTATTCTTTTTATTTTCTTATAAACCCATGCAACCCCTCCTACTTTGTGTTTACAGTCAATAAACCTTCCATGGTTTTTGTTTTCACGCTAGGATTAAACAACATTGCTTAAAGAGGGTAATTATAATATTGCCGGCATACCAAATCGACATTTCTAAAGTGCTTGGGTGGAGGAATTGCTTTTATTACGATAAGAGGGAGCTCCAAGCATATTCATTAAAGTAGAATGGTTATGAAACCTGTTAGACTCTTTGTTATATGTTTTTGTTAGCTTTTTTGGACCTGACCATGCACAACGCTCTGTAACATTCCTATCAGTTTGAACTTACTGACTAATAGAAACATAGCATTAATCTATTCAGTCACAATTTGTGAACAAAAAAACAAAGGATTGTGCACGGTCAGGGAGCTTCCAACATAAACTACAGCACCGTTGTCTTCAACTTTGATTTTTGCCGGCTTTCCTTTCCAGTCTCCTCTAGTAACTATCTTCCAGGGAACCAGCTAAGACCTTTATGACTTGTTTGCCTGCATTGATTTGAACATAAATTAGATGTAGTCATTGGGTCAAAATACAAATCTTAATTGCAGGACAAAGTCAGGGGAAGAAACGCCTTCTACGACTTCTTCATTGGTGACGTTTGACGAAACCATGGATAAAGTCAGAGGCATTGTTCGTGAAAAGGGAATTATGGTAAGTTTATGTTAAAATTTTGGATATTCTTGATTGAAAGAAACATCTACTTTATACTCTCTATGAAGTAATATAAACACAGCATGTTTTATTCAATTGACCAGGCGTCACAATAAATAAAATTATAAAATAATAATAATAAAAAAAAAAAATAAAATAAATAAATCAATTAATCAACACGATCAGTAAAAATATGTAAGGGTTATTTACTGGAACGAGGGGTTATGAGCGCTTGAGGGTGCAAGGATACCAGATGAATTGTGAGGTTTTCTAAAGCAATGTTTTAGGCTCTCTTTTTCTCTGACCTATTCCTTCACCGACACATCAATACACGACAAAAAAAACATTAAATATTTATTTTGACAATATAACATGTCCTTTATGTTGAAACATAATTATTAATTAGCTAAACCTTCAATCGCTGTAGACAGGCCCAAAACATAAGTCTTGGTATCTACCGAAGTTTGAGTGATTTGTTTTTCACTTTATCCATAAAGTTAGAAGACGTTTTTCATGAATACGATCCACGGAGAAAAGGACATGTCAGCAAAGATGACTTCAGGAAAGCTTGCAAGGAAATTTTTCAAGAACTTCTGACGGAAGAACAGCTGGATGGAATTCAGAGTCACTACTGCAGTGATGACAGACCTGACCAGTGTAACTGGTCAAGCTTCATGCACGATGCCGAATCTGGTTTGTACCATGCTCGTTTTAGTCCCTGTTCATCTTTAAACATCTTTTAGCACAGGTAGCCCAAGCTTGAAATATGAGCATCGGCTGACATCGGCATTGTTGCGTAACATTCTAAATATAAGGATTTGTATGAAGAAAAAACCTATCGTTTCTGTCACCTAGGAAAATGAAAGGATTTCAATAAAGAACAGCTTACCTTACAGAAAATGTGTGTTACGTCTCTCCTGTGTGGTCCATGGGCCGATTTATGGCTTGTACTGTGAACGGTTTCCTCTCTCTATAGAGAGAAAACCGTTTACAGCACAACCCATTTAGCGGCCATAAATCGGCCCATGGACCACACAGGAGAGACGTAACACACATTTAAGACAAGGTAAGCTGTTTTTTATTGAAATACTTTCATATTCCTAGGTTACAGAGACAATAGGTTTTTTCCTCAAACAAATCCCTATTTTTAGAATGTTGCGCAACGATGCCGATGCTCGCCGATGCTCATATTTCGAGCTTCGGCTACCTGTGCTTTTACCTTTGAAATAAACTTCTTGAGCTTGTACGTTTTGTTTTACCAAGGTCTCAGGGGAATTTGTCTTTTCATAAATTCAGTGCGTACATATGCAAGTAAATAAGACAAAATTGGAAAGAACCAGTTTTCTAGAGTATTATCACATGACCTGCATTGGGAAAACAAAACATACAAGCTAAAGAGGTCCATTGTCGCCCAGTGTAGGGTAATCCAAGATGGTTTTGGATTCCGGAAACCACGTCGGGATTCCAGATTCCTTCCAAGTAAGACTTGGATTCCGGATTTCAATCGTTAGCGGGATTTGCGACTGGATAGTCTGCTGTTTATTATCTGCGGTGATATATTTGCCGAAAGCAAATTATTTACGTGGACTTTGTTACAGATATGGGCATAAACGCCTCTCTCTTTTAACGCTTCCTATCTCTCAAACGCCGTAAACACTTCGGCTTTCCCAGCCGGGTCACTCCCAGCTCGGTCGAGAGAGGACAATCTTACTATTGTTAATGTTTTTCTTTAGCAAATAACTTGCCTCCAGCTTTCCATTCTTACTTCTTTTATCAGGTACCACTGCACAGTCTGACGGCGACTTAGAAACTAAAACACCAACTAAAGAAGTGATATTGAAAAAGGTGGCTCAGTCTCTGAAAGACAAAGATGTTATGGATCTACTCGCACGTCCTACTTCCCAAGATGCTATCAGGTAGTTCAGATAACCCCTAAAATCATACAGATATCACTTTCTCCGCGAGATTAAGTCTAAGGATAAGCGTAGAAATCAGTCCATTCTGATACCAGTTACCAGATCTGGGTAGTGCTTCTTATTGGTCGTGCCGTGTGGGAAGTTTGCTTCAACTGATCAGAAGCACTACCCAGATCTGGGTAGTGAAGCGTCATCAGTAAGGAACTTCTGCACTATTTCGTGGGGAAAGCGGTAGTGGCGTCGCGAAATGTCGACTTTTAAGGTAGGGGTTCATACGTGTATACCCGTTGAACTTGCCGGCTTGAATATTTAAAAAACATTCAAGCGGACGAATGCTACTGAGCGAATATCACTACATGCTGCCAATGGATCAAACTCAATTAGTTCCATCCATAACCGTGAACAACATGTAAAAGACATGAAACGACAACAATGACTTGAATTTTTGATGGACGCACGTGGTAAAAGAACGATCCAAAAAAAGTCTGCAGAGCTGAAAAAAGAGGCTATATTCTTTACGACCTAGGCTGTTTTCCACCTAGATAGGGTTTTTGACGGGACTAAAAATTTGGCCTCATTTGTACCTCACTGAATATTTAAGTAAACTTTCCACCTTACATGCAACTGTCCATGCACTCTTTGGTGAAGTGAAAGAACAAGACTTGAACACGGAAATATTCGAAATTCTTCTCTAGTACGCGGAAAATAGGCGAGCTTGTCAAGACAAAGCGGACGGACAAATCTATTATCCACCAAATTTACCTTGACGTTTTTCATACATTTGTACTCTTTCCTTAGCAATAAAATTGATGATGTGGAATTTGACGAGGAGCAATTATTTCAGCATATAAGCGAGGCCATTGATCGAGAGGATATGAAGGTGAGAAAGACATTAGCTGAAATACAGAAAAGCGACGCAAAACAGCAAGAAAGCGTTTTTTAAATAAAAACCCACTTTTTTAAGGGAGATAGTTTGCTATTAACTATAATTCTAGATAAAAGTCCTTGGGATAGTGATGCAGTAGTCCTGACTTTCTACAATTTTTGGGTGTCTTTACAACAACAACAACAACAAATATCAGGCCAGCTTTTTAAAAATATCTTGCAGTCCGCCCTTTCCCCGTCCTGTACAAAGTTGAAACTCGGGGAAAATTCGGGATATACGCATTCATCGTTGTTTGTGGGGTGGGGGAGGGGTTGGGCATGTGAAAATAAAAGAGAGCCCCACAAATGCAAAAGTGTCTTGAGAATTTGTCCATGATTGCACTTTAGGACTGCGTTGACAGAAAGTCGTTTTATATCTTTCATTCGGCAATGACTCTCCACCTGTCCCTCACGTCGGACCATTATCTGTCAGGTGAATAAATACAGTGGACAGTGACCAAATGATGATTGCCACTGACTATACCTCACGTTTTGACATGAACTATGTTATAATAACTATTAATTATATAGGTTATCATGGAAATGTACACAGACGACCTGGGATTTAGACATCAAGAGTTCTTCCATGATTTGAAGGTGAGGTTTTTGTATAAGGGTTCATTATACTTTTACATGTACCCCTTGAAATTGCGGACCTTGATCAGTTCCTTGATTACCTCAGAATCTAGTACAATGGCTTCACTAATAAATAAATTAATATGTGCTTATTTTCATGCACATTTGAAGGACTTGCAATGAGTCAATCCTCATAAATGTCTGCGATTCGATGTCGGATGTGTCTCTAGTCACTAACAGATTTCGAATATATTTTTTCCTTAATCAGGAACTGGCAGATTTTTCTGGAAAAGCTCGCGTATCTTCAAGGAAAAACCCTGCGTCAACTTCTTCAACATCTATATCTGTTGATATTCCTGAACATCAATCGCAATCCTCGTCAAAACCAAGTGCAACTGCCATCCGGCGAAATCGAGGGCGGTTTTCCATTTCATACGAAGCTTTGGTGTGGATCGTATTCTTGGTTCTGACAACACTATGTGTCGTTGACCACTTCGTTCTCCAAGGTGATGCGGTTCTAAAAAGAGGAGGAAAGCTTCCCAAACGCATCTGGGGGACCAACTTGGGCGAGACGATCACCAATGTGGTTTGGGCTGTTACAGCACGTCTCATCATCACATCCCAGAATCTCATGTTCTACACGATGCTATGGTGCTTTCCAAATTTTATCGCCGAAACCTGTCCAGGGTGGCTAACTGTCGAAGGCATTCGTGAAGTTCACGTGAGAATTCACAGATTAGCTGGTATCTTTCTGATCGCCATTCCTTCGCTTGCCCACGTTCTGGTGATCTTTGTTCCTCCCCTCATAGACGGAACAGCACTCAAATATTACCCACCGAGTAACTTCAACTACAGTTCCTCTCTAGGGCATTTGAATTGGTCCAAGATCTGGGACCCTGCAGCCGTCCAAGGCTGGACGTTCAACGATCACACCGGAGTTCACCTAACCTCTGACGAGATCTACCGATTTGTGCTCATGATCGTGTTGTTTTGCTTACTCTTTCCCCTGAGCAGATCAAATTATCTCAACCATCGAAGTTACTCTTTGGCCATGACATTGCACGCATTTGCTGGGATCTGGTACGCCATTGACAACATTCGGAAGATCACTCACGGACTGGCACATGTCTTCAATCTACCCATCCTCATCATTTGGTGTGTAGACCGAATTCTTTCCATTTTCCTGTATCGATATCACCGGGGTCACATTGTGCGGAAAGAAGTTCTTGGAAACAACGAGTATGTTGTCCTCTATGTGAAACTTGCTAAAAACGTGAAAATCGCTGTTGGCGATGTCTATTATCTTCACCATCAAGTTAGGGACAACACCGAAATTTTGCCTCAGAGATCACATCCTTTCACAACGTTTGGAAATTTGTCGCAAGATTCTACCTGGGACATTGGTTTTGTAATGTCGATAATTGATGATGACAAGCAATTGTGCCTCCCTTGGACAAATTGGCTGGCAGAGGTTGAGAAAACGTCTCTTCTGCACGTGTGGGGACCTTATCGTTCGTCTGTTGCGAAGCTGTACCATCAACTTGTTAGAGAGTCAGAAGATATGGAGCGCCCTTCACACTATCTTCTGTTCGCAACAGGCTCCGGATGTGGTTATCTCTTGGATATCTTGAGCTTTCTGGCCCACACAGCACCATCGCAAAGAAGGTCACCAAGCCATAAACAAATTGCGATTGACATCTTCTACTCGGTCCGAAGCAAGGCATTTTATAACTTTTTTCGTAAACCCATTGAAGAGCTACTGAAGAAGATAAAAAACAAGAATGCTGCAACGGTCACCTTCCAATTTCACGTCTCTAGTTCGCGAGAGGAACTCAACGAAGCCGATGAAAGTCCAGCTGCAGAAACCCATACCCGACTCATAAATGGTCGAATGGACTTCGAGAAAATTCTGAAGTCGGCTCACAAAAAGTCTCGTTGCTATTTTGTGGGACGGCCAGCCATTGCCGAACAATTGGAAGAGATATGCAAGCGGAAAGGAATAAAATTGACAAAGGATTACACAAATGGAAGAGAAGACCAAAAAGATCGCCCCTTGTTAATCAAATACTTTAAGATAGGTTTTTGGGTTGTCCTTTCCGTTATAACAGTTTGCGTTGTGGTTGGTCTTGTAGCTGATGTCAGAAGCATCAAAAAATCTCTTCAAGGCCATGGTTTTAATGGGACCAGTTTGGTTAGCGCTTTTTAACAACATAGCCTTTCTTTCCTTTGAAAACATTTTCAAACTAAGGAAATATCCGAGTATAAGTAACAAATGAGCGTTAGATAGTTTAGATAAAAACTGAAAAACACTGAACTTTTTTTCTTAGAAATTTTCCCGTATGCTGGAAATATGTGGGAACTTGGCACACCTTTTTATATATCAAAATGTAAGAGTAGAAAATGAAAAAAATTTCTTAATTTTAGGTAGAAAAATTGTTGCTTTTTGGAAGCCTTGAAGCAGCCATTTTTACAACTTTCTCACACGCGACTTCATCAGTGTTCGTCTCCACATGTCTGTAGCTGTGGAATTTAATTAAATTGTGTCTGACTGGATGCAATTGCCAACCACGTCTTTGACTAATTTCGCTTGTTTTTTGTTTTGTTTTGTTCACTTATACATACGTTTTTTTAAATGTATCATTAATTGATTTAGCTAACTTTAACCACTACAGAAAGAAATACAGAACAAAAGCCTTCTGCAATGCATTAGCCTGTGCCAGGCTCTCAGATAATATAGTGGGAACGTATTCAATGCATAGATTTAACTTTATCCTCAACTTCTATCGCCGTATTCAAGGTTGCCTGGTTCTTGTTAGGACAGTAGCCGTACAAACTTTAACTGATTGGGTGAGATGGCCGGGAAAGGCTCCCGTTCTTAGAACAGTCCTATACTATCTAAACATGGAGCGCCTCTTGAGTTGTTGCCCAATCTTGATAGTGATCAATTAACTTATCAGTTGGCTGTTACTTTTTTTCCAAATTTGCGCATTTGGGACAACGCCATTGCCCCTTTCTTCATTCGCGAATCCATCACCTTCTTTCCAGGCCTCCTTGAAAAGAACCCAGTTGGTTTTCCTAAGAAAAGTGTGACTTCACGTTACCATGGTACAATGATCTCAACAATCTTTCTTGACAGAGACGGCCACTTGGATTGTCGAATGATGAAACCAACGTATGGGCTACCGTTTTTTTCCTGAGCGCCATTATGCAAAGGAAACTCATACTTCTCATTTTTGCTGCTATAATTGCAGGAGCACGGTTTGTTGAGATCCAGAAACTTTTCTACCATGGCAACGTGACGTAACGACTTCGTCTCCCTATTAGGAAAGACAATAATGACACATCCACCCTAGGAAAGGGACGAGGACGTCAGGGCACTGGTCCAACTGCACCACCCCTGCTGACAAGACACAACGAAAACAACCCAAAAGACAATATGACAGTAAATTTGTATGGTATTTGATTAACGCGTCAGGAAGCAAGCATCTGCTGTGTAAAGCTGCAATTTTTTTCCATCGAAAATAGATCTTAGTATACTAGAATAATTTTAACTATCTATGATTAGAGGAATTTCATCACGACTAACCAACGGCTCCTCACTATCAATGTAATTTAGATTTAAGAAAGAAAATAAACCTCGGCTGAGCTAAAAAAGGCTGATATCTTCGTAATTGATTGCCTATGACAGTGAAAGATGCGCGTGCATACAAAGCTATTCGTTACATAGCCATTTTGATTTTCACATTAATTTTTAGTATTTCTTTTTCCCAGCGATAAAATATCTCGGGTGAGCTAGATCATTGACCTATTGAGGACTGGAATCTCGGAATCTGCCCACCTCCCTCTCCCCTAAGCCAACCCACCGGGGGGGGGGGGGGGGCCCCCCC